GCAGAAGGAGCTCTACAAGCACGTGATGCGGGGCAACTACGAGACGCTGGTGTCCCTGGGTAAGGCGCGATGCTCAGTTTTCTGCTAAATGTGATTTTGAGTGTCCCCAAGCCTCTCTCCTCGTGCTGGCGGGCTTTGCCACAAGGGTGCGTAAATCACTAGAAGCTTTGACCGTGCCGGGCGTTACCTCCTCTCACCGTAGAGGAGCACCGGGTGACTGAGTGGAAAGCTTCCTCTAGCTGGTGAAGTTCACGGGTGGCCGGACAGAGAGGCGTGGTGGTGTTTCTCTCAAGCAGGCATGGAGCATGGACTTCTCTGTCCTGCTGAGACGGAGTGTAAAACCTCTGACTGTTCTCGGGTCCAGGAAGGAATCGATCCACTTTCTTTTAGCCTTCTCTTACTGGGGCGTGTGGCCTTGATGGTGACACTCCTCCAGTTTAGTGGACAATACGGGCAGACCATGCTTCCCCTCTGCCCCCACAGCTCCCAGGGCCCCTGTCACTCTCCACATGGGGTAACCCCAAGAGGCTGTTTCTTCCTGGGCTTCTTTCCTCTTGGGATGGTTTCTGCGTGACCCAGACCTGAAGGCAATAAGGCACGCTCAGTGCGGATGGGAACAGGCGCAAGTGTGACGTTAGATTTTAGCTTGAAGGGAGGCGACTGGGTGGTTCAGTGAGCGTCTGACTTCGGCTCAGGTCACGATCTCATGGTTCGTGGGTTCGAGGCCCGCATCGGGCTCTGTGCTGATAGCTCAGATTCTGGAGCCTGCTTTGGATTCTGTGTCTCCTCTCTCCTCTCTCTCTCTCTCTCTTTCTCTCAAAAAATGAATAAACATTACAAAAAATTTTTTTTAATTAAAATAAAATAAAAATGTCTCCCAGACTGCCAGATGTCCCCTAGGAGACAAAATTGCCCATGGTTGAGAACGAGGACTCTTTAATAATCTAGAAGTTTCGTTTCTTGGCCATTCTTGGATTCCCAGGCTGCCTGTCCCCAGCTCTGAATGGAACCACGTGGCAAAAGCTAACCTTCCTATCTTTCCTCAGACTACGCCATCTCCAAGCCTGAGGTCCTCTCCCAGACCGAACAGGGGAAGGAGCCGTGCAGCTGGCGTCGCACCGCCCCGAAGGTTCCAGATGTTCCTGTGGACCCGAGTCCAGGTGAGGGGCTGAGAGAAGGCCAGGGACGCCAGGCAGTCAGGTGGGAACGGGACAGTAGAGGGCCAGGGAGGGCATGACTTTCTTTCCAGGAAGAGCCAAGGAGAAACCTCAGCCTCGAATGTTTTAAATCTGTTTTTTAATAGTTGAGTTATGACCTACAGCCTGTTCAACAAACACTCCAGGAATACTTCCCAGCGGGGAAACAGGCAGGAAACCTAGCTTTCCAGAAGACAGACAGAGCCAGGGCCCGGAATTAGGGGAAGAGGGAAGAAGTCACTGAGAGGGAAGGTAGGAGTGTGTCGAAGACAAAATTTCTTTCTCAGTTTTATGAAAAGCCAGCCTTACCCCCATCCAAGAGCCGATCTCATCGGCCGGTCACATGTTTCAACGTGATTAGAACCACAGGTTTATTTAAGGTGAATCTGGACACCCTGGGTCACGGTCTCAGCTTTTCCTGGAGCCAGTCCGCACCTTTGAAAGTTAAAGAAAGGACAGGTGGATGCGTGAGAAGAGCCTG